ATAATTCTTGGTATGTAATATCATCAATATGACTTCAAGATAATTCATTTGTATATTTTGTAAAGTAATACGAATATGCGAATGTCTTCACTGCTATGCCTGTAGTGGAAGAAATGAATGTGGCATTTCATTTTCATCGAATTCGAATATTACTAAACAAGTTCAATCTCATGGCGATGGATTCTTCGACGTATGCTCAGTAATTAACTCAAATAATTAAATAGAAAATCAGATTTTATTATCGATTTTATTCATCATAATTTATTCAGATAACTGTCAATTCAGAAGGTATTACAACACGTGATTTGATGCCTTCGTACAAATGTCAGAGCTTAGCATATCAATTCTGCTGTAAAGACGACTGGTGCAATCATCTTCTTTCACCACCACTCTCTGCTCTCATTTCACTTAAATGTAAAATTGCTCGTTGCTCGTCAACAAATAACGGATGTGACGGCAGTTCTTATGTCGCTACTCTCAGTAGTGCTACTGAATCTTGTATGGTACGTGAAAACATAGCACACTCATTCTATAATATGGAAAGATAAAAATTATAAAAAAAATTCCAAAAAGAAAGAGACGATTTATTCTTCGTAAAACAGAAAAAATAGATGCATAATTATAAACTGAATATTGTAATACTGTCTATAAATTGAGTACTATCAATTATGAAAAGCAACATCAATGATTCATTGTTTGAAAAATTTTCTGGACAATAATGACATTGAAATAGTTAGATAGGATATGTCAACAAACGAAAGAAGTTTCGAAACTATCCCAGCACTTTGAGTCAAATCTAAGTACATCATGATTCAGATCTTTCAATTTTTTCTATTTTGGAGGTATACCTATGACAGTAGCGTAGCCACGGGTATGGCCATTTGGCAATCGCTCGTGGGGTTTTTGAAATGATAATTGTTGTCCAATGCCAAAAAATCTTGATATACATACACGTACAAAGATCCAAATGACATCATCTTAATACATTATATCTTGTTGTAATCTAATCAACTGTTCGACAAAAATCAACTGACTATTTTTTTTCCATTAAATCGATGCTCACAATGATGACAATTCAATGGTATTTTTGTTTTCGTCAAAATACTTGTTATTCTACTTAAAATTCACTACTGATTCTATTTGTGTTTATCCATACTTTTTGACCTAATATATTCAAATATTTGAAAGTTGAAAAGTACATTTGTAAAACATTCCCAAAAAAAGCTTTTAGTGCAATTTCTGTGGGATTAGAATGTAAAAAGCGATGTAGCTGTTGTTACCAATCATGAGAATATTGTTTTATTCAATCTATCTTGAGATTCATTTCTTCATCATCTTTTACTTAAGCTCCCCCCCCCTCTAAAATTGATCTCAGCCCAGGAACATCCAAACAGGCTGATATTTGGAGGATATGTTGGGCCTATGATAGGATGCATGTGATAAAAGTTTCAGCCTTCTATCATGACGTATAATGGAGATACGGACCCAATAAGGGTTAAAAAATGGCTTATCGCATCTCCAAAAGTTCTCAGTGGCTCTTCAGCATATATACTTGATTTTTTGTTTGTTTGAAAGAGCATGTCCGGATCCAGTGCCTATGAGGGCCCTTTTTTTTTTAATCTTATCCTTTAAGGGGAAAAGGACCCTGACAAATTCGGTTACTAAAAAAACTCTCAAAAAATGACGCTCTAATTAAGAAGGCGCTTTTCAATATAATAAAAACAAAGCTTATTTAAAAAAAAAGGGCTCTCATAGGCACTGCAGTTTTTGATGCTCTTTCAAACAAAAAAAAATATTCGGCTTTATATTGTATTGTAGTTGACTTTCGCTGGAGATGCGTCGTGCAACCACCATTTTGAGAAAAAACGAAAAGGATTTTTGGGTTTTTCGAATAGGGATCGTCAAACATATTGAAAATTTTTCGGAAAAAAGGAGTTATTGAAGAAAAGCTTTTATCGTTTATGAAAGAGCAAATGACAGGCTATCTCCCCATGTATTTATCTCAATCTTGACCATTCTGGCGAAAACTAACTTTTTTAAGGGGGAGGCTTAAACTATGCTAAAAATAAAATCAACATCACATTCGATATGACATGATTCAACTCATGTCTAAGAAAACGGCGCCGTTTTCCGTGAACTCGTAAAACGAGCTGATGGATTACGACGAAAGACGATGAACATTAATGCCATAATACGCAGTTTTTCGATGGCCGGAATGGTCGCCCTGAAAAGTGATACACTTAATGATCTTGCTGTACATGTTGCACAAGCGTACTTTTGTGATGAGACAATTATTATCTTTGATAAAACTATCATGGGTAATTAAAATCAAAATATGAAATTTTTTCTTCGACGATATGTTGCTAAGCTGAGTAAATTTTCTTTTTTGTTTGTAATAAATAATATTCCACTTTTTTTTTATTATAGTGACATTGATGACAAATCATCTGGAGATGCAGCATAAATTTCTATTACAATACGTACAACTAGCAATGATTCCACTTACATAATAAATTATTATTGTGGACAATAAATATTGATTGATTAAGAATACATTTATTACCAACTATTTATCGTTGTCAACATAATATAAATATGTCTGATGAAAATATATTCATTAAACAGAGCTGAGCAACTCAAGTCAAGTCTGACTTGGTTTGACTTGATGGAAAAATTTTGGGACGTGACTTGAAAAACCTCTGACTTGCCCAGTTGTGGCATTAAACCGAACAAATAAAGCATTTTAGTTTATTAAAAAAAATTATTTAATAAGGCAATTCTCTAAAAATACTGATTCTTTTTTTATAAAGTATGATCAAAGGTAATTGAGGTTGACGAATCTGAGTCAGTAATGGGTTTTTCAAAATTTTGAGTTTGATTTTTTCACTCAACAGAGCTTTTTTAGTAAAGTGCCGGCAATGCGAGTTTCCAGTAAAAAAACTTTTTTCGCATTTTTTTCACATCATCGGATAGAGCTTGAGCTGCTGATTACGAAAAACTACTTTTTAGCCTTAGCAAATGCTTCCTTCCGATCGAAAAATACGAAATACTCGAAAAATGTCGTCTTTCGAGAAAAACACATTCTTTCTCAAAATGTGTAAAATTTTCCACTATGTTTCTTTTTTTGGCTTCTGGAAATAATTTTTCCAGATTCACCATCAAAAACTGAGTATAAAAATGTTGTTAAAACGACTGCAAATCCAAAACTCTACTGGTGATGGCGCTTCGAATCGCGTCGAGTCCACTTGGTATAGGTCTATTTTGTAAACCTATCTAGTTTCTCCACGTAAGTGATGAAGTCAAATATTTTATCTCATTCGACTCATCATACCTCTAGCCAAAAACTAATGCATCGCTTTTTTTTTCTTTTCTTTCCTGTGTTGAGAAAAATCGTTTTCATTGGTACCATAACCATTTTAGACGGTATTCATCGATATTCGAATTCAAATAAGACTTTTTATTAAAAACTAAATACAGATTCTGAATCAGCACAAAAAAACTGAGTCAAATGAAGTATCTGTCAAGTTAATTTGACAACTTGCAATTTTAGATATATATTCAAAAATTTCAGTCCTCCGACGATACCTGCAAAAATGAGAAAAATTGAAAGTTGTCAAATTAACTTGACAGATACTTCATTTGACTCAGTTTTTGTACTGATTCAGAATCTGTATTTAGTTTTTAATAAAAAGTCTTATTTGAATTCGAATATCGATGAATACCGTCTAAAATGGTTATGGTACCAATAAAAACGATTTTTCTCAACACAGGAAAGAAAAGAGAAAAAAAAGCGACGCATTAGTTTTTGGCTAGGGGTATGAAGAGTCGAATGAGATAAAATATTTGACTTCATCACTTACGTGGAGAAACTAGATAGGTTTACAAAATAGACCTATACAAAGTGGACTCGACGCAATTCGAAGCGCCACCACCAGTAGAGTTTTGGGTTTGCAGTCGTTTTAACAACATTTTTATACTCAGTTTTTGATGGTGAATCTGGAAAAATTATTTTCAGAAGCCAAAAAAAGAAACATAGTGGAAAATTTTACACATTTTGAGAACGAATGTGTTTTTCTCGAAAGACGACATTTTTCGAGTATTTCGTATTTTTCGACCGGAAGGAAGCATTTGCTAAGGCTAAAAAGTAGTTTTTCGTAATCAGCAGCTCAAGCTCTATCCGATGATGTGAAAAAAACGCGGAAAAAAAAAGCTTTTACTGGAAATTCGCATTGCCGGCACCTTAAAAAAATCATTCTTTTTTGCAAACAAAATTTTGTGGTAAAAAAGCAAACTCAGAATTTTGAGAAGCCCATTACAGATTTGAGTTCCTTGGCCATAATTACCTTTGGTCAAACTTTAAATGAAATCGTTACTTTCGAAAAATATCCTTTGCCTGATGGAAAAAAGGTGAACTGAAAATTTTGAGAAACCGATTACAGATTCAAATTCTGCGACTTCGATTATCGTTGGTCAAACGTTATAAAAATTCATTGGTTATTTTTAGAAAAGTTGCCTTTTCTTTTGATAAACTCGCAAAGTTTCGATTGCTAATTACTTGATAACGTAATTGACGAGTAACTGTAACTTCTCTCCGCTATTTGAGATAGGAAAAAGCTCTTATTCATATGAGTCCTCATGAGCGTAAGCTGTACAACCTCAGTGTTCAATTTCTTTTTGCTTTCTTTGACTTTTATGTTACTTTCTTTTTACTTTTCTCTTTATAGAACAGCATAGGGAATTCAGCTCCCTCTTTTACAACACAACAAACGAAAAAAGAAAGTTTTTCGACTTTCCTTTCCTGTTAGAAAGTAAAAGTGCTACTCCTATTTCATGTCTATAGACCAATTATATTTTTTCCTTTTTTTCTCTTCTTTCACTGGATGAAATACTCATGGTTATTCAATATAAATACCTGTATGTTTCGACCTTGAATAGATACTGACAAACCACACACATAAACAAAGACACGCATACGTTTAAGAAGAACGCAAATAAGCATAATGGCGTACACGCAGCAACAACAACAAACTAGTACATCTCCAGAAATTGACTTTCATAAATACTACGGTAGAAATGCTAATGGTGTGATTGAAGAACTCAAGAAACTTGGTATATTTGGAGACGATTAGATTGATGGATTTATAGGAAAATGTATCTCTTGTTTTTCTGTTTAGGTTATAATCCAATCGAATTCGATGCACATATGTTAATTCAAGGTCGTGCACTACCTGAAATTCCAGATCGAAAAACCCTGCATATTTACGTCAATAAAAGTGGCAATACGGTACAACAGATTATGAATAAACATTGAAGAGGTGATATATACCCACACAAGACAAATTCTTTTTTTCATTTTACTTTTTTCTCTGCACTTTACATAATTACTATCATCAATATAATATACTACTACTTCTATTCATCATGTTAAGGAGTAAGATCTACTAATATTCTAGAATCAATCTGAAATAAATATTTGAATCGAATAATGCTCTATGAGTGAGAGAGTGTGGGTGTGGATGTAGATAAAAAGAACACCTACACCTTAGTCCCACATCCATACCCCTAAGACGGATACTGATTGTTGCATGTTCATATCATGACTTTGTTATTTCGCCACTGTAAAATAATCGATTACTATCGACATTGATGCTCTTTGGCTTTTGGATGGATAGTTGCTAATAATTATAACGATAGCCGTAGCGATTAAAATGAGCCAATGACAAGAAACAAGGTTGAGAGGAAGATGCAGTGATGGAAAGCAAAAAAGGCATTCAGAAATGAATAATGTGCATGCAAACTGGATAACATCTTAGGTTCATAGATGGGAAGACAAAGGAATAACAAATAAACCAGAAAGATCGTTTATTGAGTTTGTCATTCCTTCATAGGAAGAGACATTCTTCGAAAAGTTGTTTAATCTTGATATTTTTCAAAAATTTCCACCAACGTGCATTCCCTCACACGGGTAGATTCTGCATCTCTGAGTGTGGATGGATAGAAGACAGATTCTCGCACCGAGGTACTTTGGTACTCTCAATGAGATTGTCTTTTTTTTTGTATTCGGTGACTAGCACACCCTACAGATTTCTATCAAAAATAATTTATCAGTTGGGAAAACTTTCCGCGTAAGATATGAAAATATCGATTACACGTATTTGAATAGTTTCTTATACCGAATGGAATAACTCATGCTGGTTTATGTGATCGTCGAACATATATTGATTTACAATGTCCATTATTTGGAAAAATATCTTTTATCTTTTCTTTGTTTTTATTGCATTAAACAAAAGACAGTGAACATTTTATTTTTCTTGTTTAAAGGGATTATGTAATAATTGTTGTAGATATTAGATATCATATTATATAGTTTAAATGTTTGACATAAGGTTAATTAATCATCTAATTAAAATCGGAAAAATCGTCATCTAAAAAAAAAGATATAGTAATATAATTGAAAATTGTTTTGAATACTTACAATAATTTCTTTCACTACGATATTGATTGTTTTGTGGATATGAATAATTTGTATCTGAATTCCAATCCTCGTTTACATAACCTAAATGATTATATTTAATTTTGTAATTTAAAAGAATAAAACTACTTTTCAAATGACTTACTATCTTGATTATTTTGACTTCTATCATCATAATAATTTGTATCATTTATTAAATAATCATTCGCTAAATTATACAAAAAAGAAATTACTTATTGATATATTCAGAAAAACAAACTTTCATCAGTTTGATATTGATAGGAAAAATCATAATTATCATCTCCATGATTATTACCATTCCACCAAAGATCTTGATTGCTATTATAGCCTTCAGTATCATTATTTTCATCTAATTTTTCAATAACATGATCACTATCATTCGTATCATCAGAATAATTATTATGATTATCATCACAATAATTATAAGAATCATCAAAACACCAATTTTCTTGACCAAAATCATCATTCATCAATTTTCGAATCGTCCATGCATCGAAACAAAAATCTGGATTAGTCATATACTCATATGGAATATAACAATATCCTTTATCACCCTAAAATAATAACAATTGAAGATAATTCTTAAAAACAAATTCCTATTTACCCAATCTTCTCCCCATGAATTTCGAACAATAAATGCTTTTGATTGATCACTATAACCAACAGCCAACATTGCATGACTACAGAAAAGAATGAAATTATTTTGTCTTTTTTTAATTTTACAAAAAAAAAATTTATATGCAATAAACCTTCCATGTGCTTCTCGACTACTATCTGATGGATCTGGCATTGGTACAACTCCTGTTTTACTTGCATTATCAAATGAACTAAATAATTGAATACCAAATCCAAATGGAAAACCTTGTGCAAGACATGATTTCATTTCATTTAAGTCAATATCAATTTGTAGTGCTTCATTTATTGTATGATTTTTTGCTTTTTGAAATGCTTGATCACTAGGACGTGTATTTACATTTGATATATCATATGGCCAAATTGATTCAAGACATGTACCTAATTCTTCTAATGCTTCAATAGCATCTGTCATTGAACAACCAGAATCTTCTATTGATTCTGAATAATTTCCTTTAATTCGTGCATTATAATAAATAAACAAACGACTAACATCTATATTCATACCATTTGATTTCTTTGTTAAATATTCATAAGCTCCTATAAGAGAAAACATCAATGATAAAATAGAAAGAATTTAATTCCTTTTTTTTTGTTTTTCTATACCAGCAAGACAGTTAGCAGTACTAAAATGTAGAAAAATCAAAGAAATAAAAATTTTCAATGGTAGAATTCTTTTTACCAGCTTCCAATTTGTGATTGATCTTCAATAGGTGTCATATCTGGTCGAAGATCAACTTTTGGTGGAAGTTGATCAGTTCTTAAGACCATATATTGACGAAATTTTTGACATAATTTATGTTTAGCTGGCAAACGTCTCGATCGTAAAACACCATCAAGTCGAAATTTTCGATTGTTTGTTTTATTTATTAAATAAGTTTTGAATGGCATATTATTGTTGTACAAATATTAGAATAATATTTTTGTTGTGAGAACAACAACAACTTATATAATAGCAAGAAAACTATATCAATTTCTTTTTGATCTTCGTCAAATTATTCACATGTAGATAGAAAATTACGATAAAAAAGATGTATTTTTTTCTGTTTTGATTGGAATGTAGTTATTCATTACTAGGTGACGAGAGTACACTCATTTGCTTCAATTAAAAATACGATGAATGACTATTGACATGGATGTTATTCATAAAATGAAAAATACTTTTATTCATGTTAATGATTGTACTATAAGATAAGAAGACTTGGTGAATGATGAACTAATTATTGATTTTCTTTAGGAATTAAAAAGCTGTTGATAATTGATTTTATTAATTGTTTAGATATATATATGTTTTGATACAGTTCAGGAATCGTTTTTAATACGACATTCAAAAAGATGAAATGCTTTGAAATTGATTTATTGAAATAGAGTTCTAAAAGACAGAGATCAAAGAAGGATATTAAAGAACTAGAGAAAACACAATAACAAAAAATATAAAGAGTGAACGTTATAGGGTTCCACCGGTTGACGGTAACATATAATTAGTATCCTTTATTTTAACTGACAAGATATAATGAGGATGTTTACATATCATTTTTTTTGTGGTCATATTTCGATTTTCGCTAATGAGTTTTGTGTATATTGAAGCTTTCATTCCATAAGTGATAAATGCCTTTTTTAAAATACTCAATCCATTTTTCATGTATGCAAGGTGGTCTACAAGTAAGGCAACATAGTGTGTTTTCGATTCTTTAATAACATGTATTATTTTGTCTCCTTTGCTGGTATTTATATATGTCCAAACGATGAGATTTGACAGATGATAACAAGAATAGTTAACACTTTTATTCACTGATTTATTTTTTGTTGTCTTTCTAGTCACGATTTTGTGTAATAAAATTATTGTTAGAACACAACCGTACTTGTCTACGTTGGGGTACTCAATACTGTACGTATCTGAACCAATGACTACATCTGTTTGAATTTTTTCTTTTGAAAAACACTCTCCAGTCTTTTTCTATGTATTGTCTTTATGGGATTCTCCTTATCCTTCAACTTTGATTATCCCATCGGAAGTGATCCACTGTCCTTATATATAGACCGGATTTTCGACAAATAAAGTATATACGATATGAGCGCATCATTTTGTGTTATTTATTGATCACCTATCAAGAGTTAGTAACCTAAGAAATATCTCAACGTCTAGAAGTTCGAAACTGTATTTCGATGAAACGTTGAAATGAGCTAGTTGACTTGGGCATCTTGTCGATTTTTGGAGCCAAATTACACTCATCAGATGAGAAAACACCTCGTTTTGAAGGCGATGACACATTGCATCTGAACTTTTCCCATGTAGTATTTTTGTTGCAAGTTATTCTGAAGGAAGATCAATACTATCTTTTTCTTATAGTATATTTATTATCCTAGAAAGTCTGGTTGAGAAAGAACAAATTGCTGTTCTGTTTTTACGATAGTAATGAGTTTTCATGAGTAAACATTAGTGGATAAGAGCGCAAGTGATTAACAAAAAGAAACGAGTCAACGAGTTGGTAAATTTTCCAGCGACGTTCAGGACACGAAATGTTTTGACTATGAGTAAATCCATGGGAACTCGCCAGGCCCATACAGTGACCATGTCAGAATCCTTTCAAACTTTCAGGGTTTGTAGAGAATTTTGCGCTGATCATTTTGATAAAAACATATTTAGGTTTAAACCTCATTATCACAGAAATATGAATCAAATACAATTTTGAGACTTTCAAGATTTTGGTAAAAACAAAGGTCATCCTCTAATGAAAATACAAACGTTAGGACATAATTTTTCGCTCCGATTTTAAAACCAATGATATATTCAGATTCCTCGTGAAAAACTGCTTCAGACTGACTATGAATTTTAGACTCCTTTTGAAAATTACTGATTGATTTTGTCACGTGCTTCTGACCAACAGTATTTCAAAAAAGTTGATCAAAAAGTCGGGATGAACGGAAATGGTGGCATAGCTAGCTCGATAGAGTAGCTCTTACTCTACAACGTACACTATTTATCTTTCTCCCCGACTGCAATTTGGTAGTGCACGAGCTTCAAAACCGGTGAAATACTTGGATTAGCAGGTCTGAATTTATTGAAACTCTGCAGAACTTGTAGAGTTTTTTGAGCTGATCATTTTCGTATTGAATGATTGAATATTTGACTCTTTTTTCGTGAACATATAGGCGAAATACGATACACATGCATTTTTTGCTTTTTCGATATTATGTCTAAAAAAATTGATTTTTTTATAAAAGTGAAAGTGATAACGGCTTTGTTTTAACTTAAACCTAGAGTGCAATAATTTAATCAGACTTAGCGTGAAAAATTACATGAAAATACCTATGAAATATATGACCTTGCAAATGCCTAAACAATCATGTAATCTCTTTTTGAAACTATAATTTGCCCTGTCTGATGCAGTTGAATGTAAAATGACTAAAAACTAATTAAAAAATGAAATATTCTAAAATGAGCAAATGATTGGTTCGATAGATCATAATTATTTCTACAACATGTACTAATTAGTTTTCTTCACAACTTTTAACTCAGGAAGAAAAAGTTATTGAAAAGTATTACATGTTAGTGCCTTGATCTGTATAAGTGCACATGCCTAAGTACTGTTGTTACACCTTCTTGTAAGTCAGGGATGGGCGAGTCAAGCTATTTTTCGAGTCGAGTCAAGTCGAGTCAAGTTAATTTTGTTATTTTTTTCTTTGCTATCTATTTGGCTAAAGAACATTAACAATGAGTTTTTCAGAAGATGATATCTAGTTCTTAGTTTTTATGCACAAAAAGAAGGGAATAACCCTACACAAGATAAAATGGTATAGCTACTATAGATTTATCAACAAAACCGAACATCAAGACGAACTCTTCTGATAAATTGAATTCCACACCAAAATCACAAAAGAGTCATTTTTTTATGAGCAGAATATGAACTTAAATCTGTTTACTAGCAAAATTTTACGATGTATATTTAAATTGCAGAAAAAATTTGTTGTGGTCGCAAAATTGTCTAACTGTGAAATGATCAACAAAAAACCTCCGTATTTTATCGCCAATTTCGCCGAAACATAAATTAATTAAAACGGAACAAGGTGTTTCAATAACTGAAACTCAATTTTTCTAATCTTATTTGATCTTGAATACGAATGTGGCTTATAACAACCTCATATACCAAGAGATACTGACAAGTCGAGCAATGTACTTACTACACGATACAAAAGAGAAGTTTTTCATTTGAACTTGTTCATCTCGAGATAGTGTTAAATTAGAGAATAAGTCATTTCTTGAACAAGATAGGCCAGGCACTCTTGTGCAAAATACCTATACTACTTCAAACAACTAATCAGCTAAAAGTAAATTCTATATTAGAAAACGGATAAATGGAATGTATTTTTATGTAATCGACGAAAAGTAAATCGTCAAAGGTGGAAATTTTATTATTTTATAAAGGCGATAATTAAAATTGGAAACAACCTACGAAGGCAAATCTACAGAAAATAAATCGTCGAAACCACTCGAAATACTTTTTCTATTTGTTATTTTTGTTTTCATTTATAGTAAATTTGCTGATCAAAACACTAATTTTTTGATGATCATGCCGCAGTTAGACAATTTTAGTGATTAAAGCTCAGGTTTTTGGTGTTTGAAAAAAATGCTTACTCATATATAAATGTTTTTTTTTCGCTTCACAGATAATCCAAAACAAAACGGAAGGAGACAATATATATATATATATGCATCCTGTAATACGTGTAGACTAAGATTTACGATCATAGAAATAAATAAGTGAAATAAAGCTTTTGAAGAAAACATTCTAATGCCGTATATTCCATTAGAATGAAAATTGGGAATCAGAAAAAGTTTAGTTCTATATGTTGTGATTTTTTTATAAAAGCAAATGAAAATTTTTTCGAGTGAATAACTCGAGTCACACAGTCGAGTTAACATCATCCGATTTCCGAGTCCGAGTCGAGTCCGAGTCAAAACTTGGACTCGCCCCATCCCTGCCTCGAATTACCCTTAAAAATCTGTTTTTCGAAAATCTCGATTTCTATTGAGTGTCGGTCAATCAATAGGATTTCGAGGTAAATGGACTTCAGATTCGGTTTCCTCATCTCTGAAAACCTTTAGTCAAGTATGACAAAACCTCGAGAAATCACTTCTGTAACCGAGATCACCTACACGTGATTCTAGAGCCACAGAATCAGCTATTTCCCTCATGATCAAAACTATAATAATAATAGATCGAATTTGTCCTGACGATTCGACTATCATTAGATACATGATAAAACCTCCAGCAATAGTTGAAATGACACTTATTACAAAATTAATAATGAACAACGTGGTTCCGACAAGACTATGATTGATAATTGCTGTCCAATCACGTTTCTGAAATAATTCGATAAAACCTCAACTACCTTGAACAAATCCTTGACCCGTAAGTGCTGCATAAATAAATGTCCATTCGTTGAGATAACCAATAAAATCATCAATCATCCAAAGAATACATTTGAAAATACATGATAGAATACTCTTTCGACGATTATCTTTGGTAGAAGAACGTAGAGCTTTGATTAAAGCTTCGAAAAATGAACCAAAACAAATAGTTCTGAAATTTATTGTAAATGCTCGTTTAATACTTGTTCCAATTGTATATTGTCGACTAACTTCACTAGGAAATCGATAGTGACTAATAGAACATGCTGTAATAAAATGAGCAATATTTCCGAATGTAATTGCACCCCAATATCATGAAAATAATGGCACAAATAGAATAATTCTATGCATATAATTACTAAATCGTTCTTCTGTAGAAGAATCCGAATTCTGTTTTCTATTCATATGTTTGAGTTCTTCATAAAACGAATGAATGATGTTTTTCATTGTTTTTGATTTTTCGGTCGTCAAATATGTTGAGCTGTCGATGAGTTTTATTTTCTCATCAGTAATAGAAGTATATAGTGAAGAAAAAGCCGCCACGAACTTTCTTACTGATTTACCATCTAATCTATTGCCAACAGCTATATGGGCTACTACAATCACCTCTCATTGACTGAAACAAGACACTGTATTTTTTTGTACGTACTTTCTTCACTTGATTTTACTGTAAAATATCATGTAACATAAAAAGTTGTTATGTTTTCTTGGACTATGATGCTGACACAAACTGTCTCCAACAAAATAAATCACTGCAACAATTCTTAGGCCTTTTCTTACACAAAATCACATAATTTCCCATCTCTATTCTAGACCTATTGCTGCTTGACCACACATACCAACCGGACGTCAACATCCTTTAGAACTCAATTAAAAAGCGAACAGAATCAACATATTGAATTGGATTGTCAACGAGCACGGCCAATTCAAAAGTTCCTTTCATGCAAATCAAAATTTTCCGAAAACATAGGAATGCAATGTATCTGCAGAAACTTCCAAAACTGCTGCACAAAATAAGTGAAAAAAAAATCGGACGAAAAATAATCTCCCTAATATGATAACTCAGCCCTTCAAGATCCATGACAAGTTACCAAGTCTTCTAGTCGACATGAAAAAAACCAACGACGACAAGAACAAATCTACATAAATACATCCGAAAAACCGGAACTATTCATAACATCCAGAATCATGAACGATTAAATAATAGAAAAAAACTTCGGCACTACATAGAGTCAAGCCGATTGAACGTATCCCTGAAGCAAATTGGAAGATACAAAACTTTATCCAGTTACACATTCTGAAACATGTACCCTATGTTTGATGAGAGAACGAGAAAGAAACGAAAAAAACTACACAAGCCTAGTCATGGTTTTCTTCTTGATGATATACATCCTTATTATACTTTGTTTATGATTTCTTGAAAAATAGAAATTATTTTGAACGAGTATAGCAGAGTCAAAACCATCTGATGATGACATTTAAGTAGAGTCGAAATCTAAATCATGGTTTGCTTGACACATCCATACCTCAGCTGAAAACGACTTTTTTAAGTCAACGACAGAAAGATTTTTGCAACATCAATTTTCTTTCGTGCGTATTTAATTAACTAAAACTATCGTTTGACTAATACTGTTACAATAGCACTAAATATGTTAATAACAATTCCAACAATTCCAACAATTGCAGCACCACCTAAACGTAATTTAGTATCACTTTCTACGCTTATTGTAGCATTGATACCAACTCCAACACCTATAATTCCCATAGGAAGACATGTAAAAGTAAGACCTATGTTTGCTAAGTGTAATAGTCGGGGTGTAGTATCGGTTGTTACTGCACAAAATATAATCCATATTATTGTAGAGATGCAAGAGAGCATACAAGCTAGAGTAAGAAAAGCTCTAGCAGCGAAAATTTGATTGCAGAAACTATTTTTGCCGATTTCCGAAGGGCATGGTAAATTGTAGCATGTCATGTTATCCGGTACGAAAATACAGTAATGCCAAAGACCATATGTGACTCTTTTATCGTCATTCTCTCCTTCACTCCTAAAAGATATAAAACAAAAGAATTTTTATAAGATTTATTATTATCTTGTTGAAATTTTTTAGAAAAATTTTGACTTCTCAAACAATTTTTATGATGGTACTTTAAAACTATCAATTTCTACAAATTCTAAAGATGAAAGTTTATACGTACCACATGTTAAGTGCATTGCTAACTATGAAAAGTATAAAAGTTATTCCAATAAGGATTCCACCAGCGATAGCTAGTAGTTGAATATTGTGTGCCATATCCTACAGGATAGATGTCTAAGATTCCTCTCTATTCTTTTCTATAATGTAGAATTATTGAGAGATGGCAGAGCAATTTATAGAGATCAAAGCATGGATCTACTTCTGTTGATAAGAAATAGCCTTAAAATAAAATAG